CGATGCCAGCTGACTGTGCATGCACCCACCTCAGAGTACCTTCGTCTAGATCTAAGAGCATGAAGAATGAATCTTGAACTTCACGATGATGTTTGACGTTCGGATATTTGCCATGCACTTTGCCATCGTGATACAAAAATCGATTTGATATATTCCATCCCCACGATTGTGCTGTTCTCCCGACCAACGCCACGTATTTGGGATCGTTGATTGGCGCTTTGGTTGTCCCGACACCAATCACCGCGTGTGACCCCCTCTCCGCTCGTATCCATTGTATTTGGAACAAATGTACACCAGTTTTGTACAATCGTTTTCCCCTCGCGGCATGTGTTCCCGTTGATCCGTCTGCTAGCGTCGCGGTGGTTCCGCCCTGCACAGTGAACTGCTTAGAACAGTCAGTCTCATCCCAGCCATGGTCCATTTGAACACTCGTCGGATGGTCTCCAAGGAAAATTTTATCAAAGAGTGTGTCAGCAAGATTACGAGGTTCCTTACCTCCGATCCTCTGACCGTGACTTGGACCGACATCTAATCCCATGTCGAACAACCTATCGGACAGGCTCTTGGGAGGATCTACTACCGGTGGAGGAGTAATTTCCTGTCCCTCGCCAATTCCCATAATCATGGATCCCAAGCTACCTAGAGAGGGACGGGACATTGGTGGCTTAGGTTTGTCGGGTTCCTCGTCCGTAAGTCCACATATCCTGTCACCTAAATCTGTAAAAAAATGAATCATAGCTGTCAACAATTAACAATTTGTAAAAAAACACTGAATCCATTATTTACACTGGTTTTATTTTTTTTTCATGCGTATTTCTGTAGATACAAACTGGTCTCTGAGCATTTTGTGTCGTTGTCGATTTATTTTGAAATGGCGTTTTTATTTTTTAGATGATATTGTTCATATTTAATAAAAAAATGGGAAATTGCATTTCAAAACCCATTCTTGGTTTTATATTGAGAAATTTTTGGAAATATATAATATTTTTTGGTGGAATGAAATAATTTGACGTGTTTACGTTTTATTTTGCCGTAGTATTTCTGTAAAATTTATTGTCAGTGACCACATGACTGCAAGTGGTGGCTCTGGTCTTTTTGTGATTATTTTCTGACAGAGCCGATAGAATTTCTTGTTACAATGACGAATGATTTACAACATAGACCTTACTGGACATGCTATTGTGGGTATCCATTTCATGTAACCTTAGTTATAATCCTCTACCAAATTAACAGACAATAAAGCTACGTCAACACCACTGTTACATCCTCTCCTTTTCCATAAGCCAAACGTGGCTACCAGGGTGTCAATAGCTACACAAAACGAGCCAACTTTGTGGTTAGAATATAATCAGAAAAGTTACATTTGATTAAAACTGAATAGCCAAGTCCATTCCATTAATACGAGTTGATACTAAAAATTGCAAAGTTAACTGTTTTTATTCCACTATGAAAACAGGAAAGGGGAATAAAAAGAGTAAATTTTCTCTACAAGGAAACAAAACTGCCTAAAAGTAAACAATGACTTGTCAAAATTTATATCATTATCATTTTTGTCATATGTAATCAACAAAGCATGTTAATTATTAAAGTGCCTGTGAAATGGCTGCTATTTTAACGCCTAAAATTATCAATTGATAAATAAATATTATTAATTTTTATGTTTCTAAGCATGAATTATTTTTTAAGTGAAATCCGCCTCGGTGATCATGGGCTGGTCCAGAATCTATTTCTTTCAAAAGTGTTGCGCCAGGTTTACGTTGTCGGCGTTTCTCTTTAAACCTAGTCGTTTTTTTTATGGACGAGGACAGTTGAATGAATCTAAGGTTAAGTGATGTCAAACCTTTGGATCGATTAGAAACGTGTGAGTACATACACTATGGCTATACGTTTCACTGCAACTGCCCACAACACAACATCTAAAAACTCTCTCTCTCAAAAAAAAGGGGGGCTCAGGGGTATGACTTCCTCCCACATTTTGTCATTTGGTGGCGCACTTTCGGCGAGAGTCGGTAATCCGGAAACAGTCAACCGTTTCACGATAGGTGGGCGTGGCTACACTGCGAGAAATATCCCAAATTTACTTGGATACGAGTAATCATTTTCAGCAAAAAAATCAATAACTACCCTTTTCAGTGGAACACAGATCTAAAATGGGAACGTGAGGGTGGGCATTGCACAGGCACTTTAACATCTGGCAAATAACCCTGTACACACAGGAAGTCCTCTTTATGCAAATTATGTAAACTTGTTTGGAGTTGAATAAATCAGTTCTTAGTACTAGTAGCCAGAGACACTGTCTTTGTTAATTACTAAACATAAGAATATTTAGAATCTATCTTGAATAGTGCATCCGCTATACACCGACAAATGTATTGGCACAGCATAACTTATCAAACATATAAAAAAAAAACGTAAACAGGTAACAACTAAAACTGTTTCAGATATATAAATCTATCAGTTATCTATACAGGGAACGATATTCTACATTGTACACAGGAAGTTGGATTTTCTTTTGTCTCAGACATGTTCCTGTTTTTTAGCAGACAGCCAGAAGAAGGTAGAAAAGAATTCAAAAAAAAATGTTTTCGTCGTCATTTTTTGTTACAAGCTAAATTACGTCCTTATATAGTAAGGTTCCACGTCAGGGGCGATGACAAAATAAAAAATATTTTTTTTGCCCATTTTGGAACCAAAAACTCCCATTTTTGGGTCAAAATTCAAAAATCGTCCAATCTTTTTAAAATGCATCAATTTACTCTTCTTGACGAGTAGAGTTAAAAAATATATAGTTTTTGGGATGGGTATAGTTTGACAGTTCATCTATGAATGTCGTCCTTTGCAATATACACAAGCTCGTTGAGTAGTAAATCTCGAGTTGGTCGATCGATGGGTAGATTCATTTTTCTCCTTTCTGCTGGCTGTCTGTAAGATCTATGTTTACATTTAGTCTGGTGACAATATTCGTCGTACGATTCGACCAATGAGAACTTATGTAACAACAGTCGTGGTACATTTCGACCAATGAGAATTGGTGTAATAATTAACAATTCTTAAAAAAGAGACAATGCAGTGATGCAATTCATTTTTTATATAAAAAATAAAAATTCTAGTAGTCGATTTCCGAAAGCATGCACAAGATATTGCGCTACTAACGGACAACATATTCTTTCATTTTGTTTTATCTTTGTTTTAAATACCGATGCATGCAGGGCGGACTAGGACCATAGCTGATGCCTGCAATGATTTACACCTACAACTCGGACTTTGTCACGGTTGACGAGAGCGAGGCTATGCAAACACCATTTTCACCTATGACTTTCTGACGATTGACGAGAGCGAGGCTATGCAAACAACATTTTCACCTATGACTTTCTGACGATTGACGAGAGCGAGGCTATGTAAACACCATTTTCACCTATGACTTTCTGACGATTGACGAGAGCGAGGCTATGCAAACAACATTTTCACTCTGGCAACGTTACCTCGCCACAACGATTCCCACTCTTTGAACGGCCGTCGTGTCACTTATATAATTGTTTGTATTTACATTTTTCACAGAATTCATACATTAATAAATAGCTCCTTTATACCTAATGATTGCTTTTTACCTATGTAGTACAACTATGGCAAAATGACGGAGATTGAACGCATCATTCCTATAAATCGCGCCATCTCGTGACAGTGCGCTTCTGTGATGTCAAAATGACGTATTGGGTGAATGCAACGCCGTTCAAATCGACATCCGAGTTTCGTTGTGCAGTCGCTCATCATCTAAAATATAGTCTCAAAAACAAATGTTCATTGATGGAATACGGATCAAAACGATATCGACGCTTTGAATAGTCTTCATGTCACCCATTTACGTCATTGAAATGCTTCGTCTCCTAGAGGGCGCGATTTATAGGTAAGGAGTAATAAAGTTGTTCGAGCAGAGGTACTCTAGAGTTTGCGCAAAAAGACTTTTAGGATTCGAAATTTGACAAATATTACATTATATTCAAATAGCAAAGTATAAAATGGACATGGCTAAAAAAAACTATAAAAACAACTAAGAATATTTGATATTTTGAGCTAAAATGTTTATCAAATTAAATGAAAGAAAACTAATAAAAAATGACGAGGAACTCAAACGTGTTTCCAAGGAAACACTGGCTATACTATGTGATACCCCCATGGTGTAAGGCCCTATCATTGCTACATTTAGATTATAAAATTATATTATATAAAATTAAGGTTCGTAGTTTTAAAAAAAAATCGGACTTTCAAATAGTCAGTCATAGAACATTTCGAGAAATTCTCATTACAGTCAACAATCCGCGTCCAAGCCTGGAATCCAGCCAGAATGGTCTATTATTCGTACAGTACAAAATGTAGTAGTAGTCTTATGATAATAGACGGCATCTAGTCTATCCGCGTCCATGTGTAGACTAACTTCAGTCGGTATGATTAGTTTTTTGTCACTAGTTATAAGTGAAAATGATTAATGATTAAGTTATATGTGTCTTCATCGGTGAATACACATTATTACCACGTACTTCAACAGTTCACACATACAATAAAGGATGTCAGTCTAGGGAATGTGTTTCGTACGTGTATGTCAATTACTTTTCAGTATTGCCTTAAATTTCGAGAATTGTTGCATATGAGGAAAATCATCCACTGTGCAATTAAGTCATCATTCACTAGCAGCTGAGTCATCTAATGTACAAGATAAATAATGACGGTACGACCTTTATCCTATATATATCAAATTTCCTCATAAAATAGACTTAGTTAACGCGTTTAACTGCCGCGTGTTTGTAACCCCTTACACGTACAGTGAGACAACATGGGCTCCTAAGGCGGTTCGTCCTTAACGACTGAAGATTGCAGGTATGTAAATTGGAGGTATACGAACTGTTTGTCACGCAACTGGCCCAATCGATATTCCAATACACCTTATCACGCGATCTTACTGCCTCAGAATATGTTGCGACACCATTTCTGGCTGGTAAATTGTTTGTGTTGCTAAGTAACGTGTCACGCAGATCTCACATCCCGGCGGCGTTTGGCCCGCGAAGCAGATCCTGGGAATACGCGCTTGTGGGGGTATTCTGGTTGGAGTAATAGCACATACATGTACTTGTGGTAGGTCCCCCCGGGGGGGGGGGTCACTTCCATGAAAATGCAATACGGATATGTGCCGCCCGACTGAGGTGTCATTTCACGTTTTTTTTGTTTAGAAGTGGGTGGTCATTTATCAATATTTTGGTTTAGAAGTGTGTAGCATTTATTTACTTTTTCACAGGTCCTTTATATTCAAAGCCAGATACCGGAAATGGCTGAATAAAATGCGTTGCCCGGATGCGCTCACTGGGTGAGCTGGGTGTTTTTTTTGGCTGAAAAAACTTGTGTTTAGAAGTGGGCATATAAATAGAAAATAATGGTTTAGAAGTAAGTATGGTTTACGAGAGGTAGACTGCACACCCTTACCCACTTAATGTGGAAGTAGCCCCCTGGGTGGTAGGTGTCGACAGAGAGTGAATATAACCGTCATAAATAGAGACATACATACCTGCACAGACTACTCACATTACGATGAACGTTCTGCCCATGGGTAAAAAAAAACACGCGTACATGTTTGTGCATTGCAACAGTTCCAAATATTTCTATTCCTGTGTGTCCTAATCTATTTATAAGCAAACTTCGAACACAAAAAATTCTACTATTTCTACTCATAAAAAGGGGGAGAAGAGGGTGGAGGGCAGCGATATATCCGTCATTCGCAACACGTACCTCCCCACGTACCAGGTACTACGCAACAAACTAATGGCACCTGTACTGCCGTTTGTTCGACCTAAAAAAAGTCACCAAATGCACGCGCCGGGCAGGCACTGGTACACAAACTTCGTATGTAATTAGTACTCACTTTGACCGATGCGATCCATGCTTTTTTAAAAACACAATGGCGCCAAACACTCGCAAAACTGTCAGATGTGCAGGTTGTAACGTGCTATTTCTCTGGTAGCAAAGTTTTAAATGTTTCCTACTTCCGCAAGTGACGTAGGGGTTATAGAACTAGTGTTGTGCATTAGGGCGGAACATGCATTAGCATATCAACTATTGTGTTACATTGAATGACCCTTCTGGTAAATGACCCATATTTCCCGTTTAGTAGCACGGCTCAAGCCACAAATTAGAACTCCATATACGATAATGTTAGCATTTAGTAGGCGAATTTCTCCAAAAAACTGTTACAAAGATCAAAATATTATTTTAATTTGTTGAAACCACATGATTGAATGTAATATAATTCTTGCCAGTAAAACACATGTTGGCCAGCACAAAACATACAGACTTGTCAGGCTTTCTACCTTCAATATTATCACAAACGCAGCCAGTTTGAAAGTGTCTATTAAATCAAGAGTTGTCAGATCCGCAGATTACCGGTAAACTGCACACGCAAATCCAACAGCTGACATAATTGAACTACGCCCTCTTACATCGCGTTTGCAGATAAAAGGCGTACGATTTGGCTACGAACGATGATAGGCTAATTATGGCATGGGATCTACAAGAGAACATTGCGCGCAGATGCAGATGCACCAATCAGCGTGTCTCCCTCCCATTACTTGTAGAGAAGCCAGTTACCTCGTTTTAAAATGATCGCTGATTGGCCATCCGATAATGACAATGTTATTGCTAATGCATTTCTTTTCCGAGATCATGATATTCAGTACGGATTTAAATAATTTTCGGTTTTGTACATATTTTGTCTTTACGTAATAATATAGACACAGTATTATGTAATACCTCGGGGGCGGAGCTACGTCACAAGACGTTCCCCGTTGCTACGACGCGCACCACTGTACATGCATTTCTATGGGCTCTGAGAAAACAACACAAACTCAACTTTGAAGAAATCCCGAACAACCGAATTTATATATGTTACACACGTAGGGCTAATCTTGTTACACTGTACAGAGGAGTTTCAACAATCATCACAAAGTACCGTTTTCTGCGAGTTTTGGGCCTTTGTTTTCACCTCCGCCGGTTGCCAGGCGGTGAAAATGCCCGGATGTCCTCTTCATGGATGCGCTTTGACGCTAGAAGGCGCTACGTGTAGGAAGGTGTATTACGTTTGAACCCTTCTCGATCATTAATGCATATTGTGCATGTCACGTGAACAATCGTTAACTACACTTCGTATGAGATTCCCAATAACTATAATTCCCACGAAATATTCACGAATATGCAGACATAATAATATAACAAACACAATGACACTAGCTATATACATGATTTGGGATTGCGAATACTAGTACGTCGTGTGACAGTATAAAGCTGGTAAATCGATGCGAGCACGGCGAGGTCACAGGCTGCACTAATATGGGCAACAAATTCAGGAAATCTGACTACAAAGTAATCATTAAAACCGGAGATTTTCAGGGCACCGGCGTCGATTCGGACGTTCATGCCATCTTTTACAACGATTCTGGCGAGAAATCCCCTGAATTTACTCTCGACACGAGAAGAAATATATTCAAATTGAATCGTTGCGTCACGACCTGCAAACGGGACCTTCCAAACTTCGGTCCGATCGCACGGATAGAAATATGGCGGGATTCCGGGAATACGCTGACATTCTCGACGTTTCACAGAAAGTTCACTATTCTTTCCCACTTCGGCGCTGGATCACGAGGCGGCACCTCACCATCGATAAATATGACTGCTGCACACCGCAGTTGGCGCCAAATCCCGAACAAAGACGTCTGGAACTGGAATATGAGAGGGAGAGATACACATTTGCATATCTGAAGCCAGGATTGCCTCCCGAGGTAGATCACTGTTCACGTTATTTGTTGTTAACATAGTTCACATCTGGAAAATCGATAATACGGTCACAATAAGTGTTCCGATAAGCTGAATCTATATCTATTATAGATACAACACAGAATTGATTTCTCGACATGAGAAATCTTATCAGATTGACCTTGCTTCCGTCAAGTGCAAGATAGCTTCAATGCTTCTATGTTTTTCCTATCTATGGCCAAAACAACCGATTTTATTATTTCTCACGATGGTCCAAATACCCAGAGTTAGCGGGACCAGCGCAATATAAACGTGACCTTGATAATGGGATTTTGTTTTTCCTGAGTGTTCAAATAATAGAAGCTGATATTTTGGGACTAACGTTATGTAATTGAAACACAAGCCACAAGTATTAGATGGCTTACAAAAGAGGCTATAGTTAATATGGGCAAATGATTTGCTTGAGCCATTGGTAAATTTATGGAATTGTGAATTTATTGTGAATATGGTGTTGTGTGTTATAGGAAG